CAAACAACGTCGTTCTACGGTTATAACACTCCGTTGAGAAACTACTTTTTCCCAGTGCTTTATCACCTCGACGTAATTTAACACCGTCCGACTTCAATCATACCTTATTGCTGTTAGTTATCTTATAATGACTCTATCCCCGCGTATATGTATGTATTCGAAAATGAGAAATGTTACCTCAAAAAAATAGAAATAGCGCGCTGTCGATGCGAATTGAAAGCGACAATAGCATCACGCTATCTCTTTCTCTTGTGACGAATACTCTCGTGCTTCATCATCTTGACGCAATTTAACGCAATTCTTCATGTTATAATAATACAGTAGAAGCTCTGAAAATCAGGATACTAAAATTCTTTTCGGAAAAATATTGCTTCGACTAAGGTTTTCAATAAACTCCGACTTGAAGTGATTATAAGACGTCGAGGACGTTTTTGGTTGAATTTTTTTACATTTATTATCGTATATTACAATTTAGTCAAGGTAGGTTGTGCGGTCTCGGCAATAAATTTAAAAGCAAATTGCGTCGTAATTAATGTTTTCATCCTCAGTTTCAATAGTTACCGAACATACCGGGAATTTGTTTAATTTCTCGCAGCCTAGAGCAGTGGTTCCCAACTTTTAAGAGTTGGGACCCACTATTTATTACCACAGCTTATGGCGACCCATTTAACTTTAAAAAATTAATAAAACATAACACAGAACACAACAATGGCTAATCATCGCAAAACTACCGTGTTTCCTCGAAAATAAGACCTAATTTGAATTTTAAAAATGATTTTAATTAAACCCTACCCTTAGCCTAAATTTAAAATGTGTGGGAGAGGAAAGTTTCAATGACCTGAGAAATGGTTCACTTTTCAAGATTGTGTGATATCACAATTATGATATTTGTCACTTGATTTGTGTATAGGAAATACAAATAAAAACAATGGATGTCGGTTTTTATATAATGTTCATTAAAAAATCTCGTGATTTTCTACAATGTAATTTTATTTTTGATAAATGAACACAAAAGACTTATTCGAAAAAAAAACATAGTGTTATTCATCAAAAAAAAAATAAAACTAAATCCTTTCTAAATTTCGGGAAAACACGGTAAGAAGTGTTGTACAGTGTACTAAACTGCTATGCGTAAAAAGCCACATGGTCATTCTTTGTGTAGCAAATTTTTGTTCTGTTGAGAAGATCGTAAAAAGGCAACTTTCACAGATTAGAATTTCAATTTAATTTTTTTTTTGAAGTTTTACGTATTCGAGTCGCCACCGATCCTAATAACCAGTATAATTAATCAAAGCTTTCTACATCTTTTCACGATCCACTAAGATTCCTTTTGCGACACACAAGTCGCGACCCATAGTTTGGGACTAGACTGTAGAGCAGGGGTCGGGAACCTTTTTGGTCAAGTGAGCCATAAAATATACATATTTTCAATTGCATTTCCGTGCGAGCCAAATAACATTTTTTCACTTAATCAGGCCTGAAATGTTTACTCAAAAGTCAACACATACAATGTCAATATACATTTAATGTGATTATCTGATGCTGCATGTAGTCGCTGCGGGCCTTGAACGATTGCTCACATGCAGCCCAAGTTGAAATCTACGATACTCATCACCCTTTTTCGTTTAGGCATCTCCGTAGTGTTTTTAAAACTCTATCGCTTTGTGATGTCACAATATATGTTCCAAAATCCCCTTGTTTGTGCAATGCCTGTCTGGTAATTATCTTACATAACATAGACATGTGCTGGACGCGCGTTCTCAAACGTATTGGGAATTTTCTGCCAAATTTGGCTATAAAAGAGTTTGAAATCTCGTAACAATAGTAAGCTTAGCCTTACAATATTAGAATTTCCTGGGAGCCATATGTCGTCACCAAAAGAGCCATATATGGCTCGCGAGCCATGGGTTCCCGACCCCTGCTGTAGAGTGTATAAAATAGATCTTAACTATTATTTGGTTTCCATCGGAGATTTTATCGTTATCCCGACGTCGTTGATAACAATATCGTTCATTTTAAGCTGGAAGTATTGATTTATAATTAAAAATAAAATTATTACACATAACACGAAAAATTTAAATCGGCGCTGACTCGAAAAATAAAACGCGTTTTTTCCGTTTTATTTATCCATTATTGGCGGACTGAAATTTGGGAATTGGGTTCACTTATTTGATTATGTACATATGAACAAAAAGTACACAAACGTACTGTTATTAGTTTTTAGTCGTTATTTCTCTGTCCTTTCTACTTTCTATGTGTATATTAAGACCGTAAAACGTGTTTTATTTTTGGACTCTGCGCTGATTTAAATATTTCATGTCGGCTGTTATGTATATTTGCTTGTAAATGAATACCGCCAACTTAAACTGAACGATGTTGTCATCAACGCGGATGCCGATAAAATCCGCGATAGATATTAAATACTATTCAAGAGCAATTTTATACGTTCTAAATTACAAGAAATGAAAAAAAATCTTCTGTAGTGTTCGGTCACTATCGAAAATGAGGATGAAAACACTTAATTAGGACACAATTTGCCAAGGACGCCTAAACCATTTCGACTAAGTTAAAATATACGATAAGAAAAAAAAATTTCAATCACAAACGTCCTCGATGTCTTATAAGTTCTTCAAGTCCGCGCGGCGCTTATCAAAATTCTTTCATGTCGGCTGTAATATATTGCCGAACCACACATGGACGACGACGCTAGGGGGGGAGGCGCAAGGCGAGAGAAATGTTGAAAATAATTAACAGATTTTTGTTAGCAATTCGCTGGAATGTAATGAACGGCGTTTTGCTACCCACAAGGTGCATGACATAGCGAAGCGCCGTTAATGAACAAGAGCAAGGTATACGAAATGCTGGGATTTAATCGATGGCGTTCCCCCATTAACCAGGGGCAATTTATCGTGTCTCAGGCACTGAGACGACACCTAGTGGTGTCTTTGCTACTTTCGTTCTACTTCGTGCTGCACTGTGACAATTTCGGCCGGACCCCCCCCCCCCCCTCGTTGAAAACGGCCTGATTGCGCCACTGGTCGCGGCATGTTGGAAAATATCCAAAGGGGGTCGAGAGGCAATCTCGACCAATCTTGTTATTAGAAATGCCTATTTCAACAATTGTCCGACGCCAGCGAGCATTTGTGAGGAAGAAGTGGAATCGGAACGGTTGTATGAAATATCATATTATAAGCAAGAATTTTGCACTTACTACAAAAGCTTCATCTCCCATGTCTACACTACATAACTTATAATTTCCGCTTATGTAAGTAGTAACGCGAAATTGTGTTATAAAGTTACTCGCATGCATATTATAAGATTACTCGCATGCAGCTCATTTGTTACCTTCATACTTGAACGCAAATTATTTGTCAACTCCAAAACTTTTCCTATCAAAAACAAAACAAAAAATGCGATTTTGTAGTCTCTAAAATAACTGCAAAGGTGCCTCGCATGTTTCGCAAAAAAATGCGCTAATTGTAAACAATGGAGCCCAGGAATGTCCAGAACTAATTAAATATAACATTGATTACAATCAACAATTCAAGTTATTGATTTTAGAAATAATTTAGAAGAGTTTTTTTCAAAAATTATCATATTAGGCAAATCTCACGATATGACCAAAAAGGCATTTATTTTAATTCATGAAAACTGTAAAAAATAGAAAACCAATCAATCTAGTGGTTTATCACCGAAACATATTCATTTAAATATACAATGACTTCAATGTGTTCCTTACCGAACTTGGCTTCAAATTAGTTGTTAAATATTCAAAAAAATTATTTTGCATGAATTACATAACGAACCTCAAGTATCAGTGACTGGTTATGCAAAGCCTTGTTCAGAGCAATAGCAAATGGATCAAAAACATTCATTTAAGCCATTAATTTTGGCTTTGTATTATTCTATTCTAATTGTCAGTGAGTAACAGTATACAACAGAGAGGGCCTGATTTGCCATCATGCAAAGTAGGTTAAAGACAAGGGACCTCAAGACAAATCTCGGCTTTCCAATTTGAACAATTATTCCTTTTTATTCAAATCAAAATACTACCGCTTCAATTTTGAAAACAATATATAGTATGCTAAATTACATTAATCAAACAGTTTTTATTCAAAATGGCTTTTATTTATTCAATGAGAAAAGTATCGAGATATTGCTAAACAAATTTTTCTCTCGGATTTTTTTTTGCAGACCAAATATTTCAGAACATGCAACAATAATTCTTTCATTGTTTTAAATCGTCAACTGCGACATTCCCCGTCACACACATATACTTCTCACAAATAGAAACAGGTTTTTCTGGTGCAATAACGTTTTATCACAGCCAAAGTTTCACAAAGATTTTAAAATTAACCTGCTATCCCATCTACTTAGGAGATTAGAGAACATTTCTTGCCTGCAACTAAAATGTTGAATTCCACACAATCAAAATATTATATATGACATATACTCCAGTGGTTACCAACCTTTATTCCAAGCGACCCAATTTTGTTTTTTGAAAATAAATTTCGTAAAATATTGCAATATTGCGACCCAAGAATATACTCAAATACTAAATGAAATGTGGGCCTAGTAATTTTATGACCACAAAAGAAAATGACTAATATAAAAAATCAAAAACATTTTGCCTTTTTCATAACATTTACTTCTCAAAAAATTACATCTAAGTGGGAAAACTGCACGCATTTGACAATATTAGCGAGTTTTTGGGGCTTTACTTGAGCAAAATAAATGCTGTCAAGATTTTTACGAAGTACTATTAGGAAACAATTCAACACCAACTATAAAATAAATGATAAAAATTACTAAAAAATATGAAAAAGTAACTTTTTGGTCTTTGCTGAAAAAACGTCATCTTGAAATAAGTTAGAAATCATTCATATTATTTAACTTTCTGTAATAGTTTACTCCACGAAAAGCAATTAATAATATATCACAGGTATTGCTATATAATAGAGCTAAAGAAAAGTAACTATAAGTAGATCATTGTGTCACACCTCTGTGTTATTTCCCAACGATGATTTGAAAGCTTGTAATTGATTTGATGACAGGTTACAGTGGATAAGGTTCAACTTTTGAACACAGGATTGATTGGAAAGTATTTGTCCAACTGATGATAAACCTTCAACTCCCATGTTTTTGTTACTATTCAGGTTCAACAGATTGATCTATAATAAACAAGAACAATTTTAGATCATAATAAGATTGTTGAAAAATTTTGAAAAAGAAAAAAGAAAAAGCCACTGCTCAAAACCTCAGAGCTTACCCAAAGAAAGATGAAATATTTAGAAGTTAAATTAAAATAGCGAAATCATCAACAGATCATGCATTGGCATTTGGCATCATATGTGGAAACAGCACTGGAACCTAGGCTGTCACATTTTCACATATGTTGAGAATATAGATTAATTTAAAATGACAGTTTTTTGTTTTTGAAATCCTAAGCAAAAGAAATAGAATTGCTGAATAAAAAATGTCATTAACTAAAATTCATGTTATGACCATTCATTCCATTGTCTAAATCAGACATGGGCAAAGTACGACCTGTGGGCCAAATCCGGCCCGTTGGGTAATTCAATCTGGCCCGCCCGATGCTGCCACAACCAAGCTAAAATCAAATCAAAGACTTCAAGTTTAAATAAAGAATGCTGAAATTTGATTGTCAATGCTGAAGCAAAAATGTTCATCTCATTCTTAGACGGGTCATTTTTGGGAAAAATTTTCCAACCAATTGACTCAACAAGTGTGTGAGCCCAGAAATGTTCAAATCAAAATTAATTGATCTAAAATTGATATCAATCAACATTTCTAATTATTGATTTTAGTAATAATTTAGAATAGTTTTTTTCAAAATTTATCATATTAGGCGAATCTCACAATATGACCAAAAAGGCATTTATTTAATTTATGTGAAAACTGTAAACAATAGCAAATCAATAAATACAGTGGTTTATCACCAAAACATATTCATTATACCAGGACTACAATGTGTACTTCGCTGAACTTGGCTTCAAATTAATTTTCAATATTCAAAAACTTTGTGCATGATTTACATAACAAACCTCAAGTATCAGTGACTGACTATGCAGAACCTTGTTCAGAGCAATAACAAGAGGATCACAACCTTCAGTTACCTCATTAATTCCACATAGCTTTGATTAAAATATTTTTAAAAAAACTTGCAAAGCTTGATTAGGAATATTATTTCTGTACAGCATTTTTTATCACAGTGACTGCTCGGAAAGGGCTTCGGTCAGAGAAAAAATTAATGAATCAAAAACCTACATTTTTTTTATTAAAATTTCATGAAGCTCCGTTTAAAGATTACGCATCCAAGGTTTTAATACCTCAAACTAAGGTGAACCGATTGTGGATTTTGGTGATGACTTAACAACCATGTTCTCATCGTCGTATTTTCGCTTCATACTGGAGGATAGACATACCGCACTGTATTTGACACTACCCGCAATCAAGCTGCAATGCCGCCAACGCAGCAACACACATTTAACCATTATGACGTATGATTTGTCTCTTGACTGATTCAAAATTCCATGCCACAACGATTTTCATATTAAAACATAATTTGTTTTAATCATTGATGAAAATTTCTTCTATCGCGTAATAAATTAAAAAACTGTTACACTACATTTGAATAATAATAAATTCTAGCGAGAAGAGTCGCATAAAAACAATGACGAGTGGCATTCGCCTACCGTTGTTATATACACTACATATAGAAATGCTCATTTTGACATCACAGTGGATTCTATGGAAGCTTTATGACATCATAAAATAGTTTAAAATTGGCCTAATGAATGGCATCGTTTAAGACTGGCTCTCATAGTATAAATCCAGCCCTGACTACAGCTAGAATAGTAATACTAAATACAATAACGAAAAACTAAATTGATGATGATGGGGTGGTTTATTAATTTAATTTTGATCAATATAATCTACGGTTGTGTTGACGAAATGAAAGCATTTCTCCTCAGAAATACCACGGCAATCCTCGGACATAAAAATGTGTTGTCAATTTCACGATTATAGTTCGTTTTGATTCGTATTTTTATGAATTCATCAAATCTGAGATGTTTCCACAACACTAAACTCAGCTCCATCGCAATGGTGCAATGCAATATTTTTAGGATATCACCTAAGAAAAATCCTCTAGTCTGCCATATTTATTTCAAAAAAATCAATCGATATACATTAATTCTCTTATATATGTCAGGCTCCATCAGTAGTTTTAGAAAACAAAAATGAGTGCTGCAGTGACACAAAATTTTGCAATCTAAAAAATTTGGGTTGATGATTCACACCTCCATTTATATTTAGCATCTTGTGGCTGAAGATTATGATGTAACAATAACTCACAGCCCTGTGCGAAAACAAAAAAAAAAAAATAAACACAGAAATAAAGATGTTCAAGTCATAAATAACACGTCACGCTGACGAATTTAATGCTGGCGATTTTGACAAATACAATCTCATGCGTTATTAGCATTATTTTTCATCGTTGCAAAAATTTCAAAAGGGTGAGGGGGGCGGGGTCAACCCTGAACCTTTTGTGTACGTTCGCAGAAAAAACTCATTCCTATTCCTAATTACATTTGTTGATATTATATATGTCATATATGGAATTGCCGCATGCGACATCTGGGTGCATACATTTCATGCTGGGTCTGCGGCATTCCAGATTGTGCTATATCATCCGTTTACCTCTCGGCGAATACCCGATACTGTATTTAGCATATTTTTTAAACAATAAAGATCGAACAACAATATTTGATTGCCGACAACTCATTTAAAATAGGGCACACAAAATGATCTCCGGAGACCAATGACGTATCTGTGTAGAATAACGCTAATGGCAAAGCCCCTTGAAATTATCTTATTAGAAATTTTACGATCAAACGTTTTTCCGCCCCTTTCTAAACGACGCCCATGGCACAAGTCATTGCCGCCACACCCTAGATACGCCACTGCCGGGGACACCTGACGAAGGTAGATACAAATTTATTCTACAATTATTATTATGCTAAAACCATTGTAGAGAAATTGTAAGGTATGTTTGATGGTCTTCCTCATTTTTTTACAACATTTTTTCACAACAATCTTCAAAATGTATCGAGAGGGTATATCTTCGATAATAAAGCGCTACTCTTACTACCATTCTAAAGCTACAGATCAATGCTATTTATTGAACGAGCGTTTCTGACAAAGCTAAATTGTATTTTTTGACTGTTTACTCTCCCAAAAATGTCATTTAAGTTCTTGATTTTCAATAATAACTTTTTTAAGTTAGTTACGAACATATAGGGTATGGCTAATCACAGCCATCAGGCCTGAGACAATGACGACATAACAATATTCGCGGAATATGAATGTGAGAGAAATATCGGGAATCTAGATATGTAAGAGGCAATTCGACTATTCGCGAATTAACCACAAAACGATTTGAATATTTTGCGACTCTATTAGACAGCCCTGGATATATCCTTTCTAAGAGGCACAACATCTTTTTGAGTATGAAATACCGGTATATTTAAAGGAGTCACAACGAAATCTAGGGCACCTAACTTGATAAACTCGGCCAGGGCACATAACTTGTTAAAATAGGCACACACTTTCTTTTAGATTTGCGAAGCACCTTTGCACTCATAATTTCCTTAGAGCAAACACTGACCTCATACATATGTAAATGACTGTGTTGAGCAAATGCAATAAAATGCTTTATTATGGTCAGAAACTATCCAAAGTATGAATAGCATCGATTTGAAAATGTTGAGTCAGAACTTTGGAAAGCTGCCAAGAACCAACTATAACCCAGATAAGAATTGACAGCCCTAACTCTGTTATAATGACTTAGTATTGAGTTAGCAATTATTTTCAGTCATTCATTCCATTTTTGGCCTTTTTATATTATGAATGGTAATTTCAAATTTCTTTTTTACTAAACTATGCTCGGTGATGAAATTGTAAACATAGTAAACCTTGTAAAATATAGTGTAAAATTAATCATGATTTCATTGTAACGCCGCACATTGGATTGTTTACATCGTTAGCGTTGAAAGAAATAACATTTGTTGCATTAGAAAGCCTCTGGGCAGTAATAATTTGGTATTATTTGGTGTGTGACGTCATCAAATTGTCAAGAGTATTGTTGAATTTGTAAATTACGTAAATACATTTGTGAATTTCTCTGTATTGATTTTAGCTAAAATAATGGTTGTAGTGTTGTTTTGATGGAAAATAACACAAAAAAAAACGATAGAACTAAAATTAATTAACTATAATTAACTACTAGACACAGTAACACTCAAGTTCAAGGGTATTTTGTACAAATTTTTGAGCATTATGTCGCATATACAACGAAATATTTTGAAACCTCGCTCTAGCGACATCTCGCGGAATAGAACTCTAGCGTACGCATTTATAAAGCAAAGAGCAATGTTCTAGGCCTTTAAAATACCACCCGGAATTATAGGGTTCTTAAAGCCATGGCAAAGATTTTGGATTCAAAGGGTCCACCAAATAACTCCGTGCGTAACAATTCTGTGAGAACTTTCAAACCAAAAAGATTCTGATATATCATTTAATACATATGGAATATAATGGCACATAGTAAAATATTATTGTATAGTAGTAACTCACTAAATATCACTTGCTGCTTGCATAAAGCCTTATTTGAAGTCAATAAACAAAAACACACTTTAAAGAATTTAATCTAAAAAACTCCACTATATCGTGTTTTGCACACATTTTATAGTCAGTAAGTCTTTATCATACTATGTTTAAAAAAAAGGAAAACATATTTTGTACCAAATCACACAAGCTACTCACCTTCACATTTGATGCTTTCAATCCAGATGCCAGAGTTTGAAGTGAAGCTGACTTGAGATCACAATCTCTGAAATACATTGATAGTGATGTACAGTAGGAAGCTACTGATCCAATGACATGAACATCACTGATGGAGAGAGGATAGCAATTCATCTCAATAGAATCAAGAGATGATTTGACAATGTCACTCATTCCATCCTTGGCTTCGTTTAATGCAGTGAAAAGATCGAAAAGATCTGAGCTTGGCTTGTCCTCGTACTGCATTAGCCTGTAATAGGTGTGTGACTTTGGATCCTTGAGGGTTAATTGCAAACTTTTTTTGAGAATATCTCGTTTTTCCTCAAAATCTTTGATTTCTGTGAAAATATAAAAGTAAATCTATTATCTGCAAAGCATTTACTGATGATGATTGGTAAACATCTGATAAAGGCCAACATAATAATAACATTAACCTTTATCTTTTTACATAAGTTTTGGGTCCAAATCCCATGATGAGTGCAATAAATCGGGTAGGTAATGCCAAACAAAAAAGATTCCACTCTCTCCATATAATGGTAGCTCCCTACATTCTACATATAGTTTAATATTGGTGGCTGCTTATACAGGGCCTTGTTCAGAGCAACAAAAGGCTTGAATATGCTCCATATAAAATAATTACGGTAAGTGGAAGGCTAAATTTAGTCAGCCAAAGGTAATCAATGTACACAGTGGCGCAACCAGGCCGTTTTCAACGGGGTGTCCTGCCGGAATTGACTCTGTGCAACCACGACTTAAGTCGCAACGCCACTAGGTGTCGCCCCAGTGTCTGAAACACGATAAATTGCTCCTGGATAATAAGGAAACGCCATCAATTAAATCACAGCTTCGCTTACTTTGCCCTCATTCATTAACGGCGCTACCTCGTGGGTAGCAAACGCCGTTCATTACATTACATTAAGTTTTTTCATTTCTTGTAATTTAGAGAGTGTAGAACAGCTCTTGAATAGTATTTAATATCTATATATCGCTGATTTTATCGGCATCCGCCGTTGATGACAACATCGTTCAGATTAAGTTGGCGGTATTCATTTACAAGCAAAATTATATAGCAGCCGACATGAAATATTCAAATCAGAGTCCAAAATTAAAACACGTTCTACGGCCTTAATATACACATAGAAAGAAGAAAGAACAGAGAAATAACGACTAAAAACTAAGATTGGTATGTTTGTGTACTTTTGTCCACCATCGCTATCATAATCAAATAAGTGAACCCGATTCCCAAATTTCCGTCCGCCAATAATGGAGAATTAAAATTAAAAATTAAAAAACGTGTGTTATTTTTCGAGTCAGCACTGATTTAAATTTTTCATGATATGTGTCATAATTTTAATTTTGATTATAAATCAATACCCCCCCAACTTAAACTGAACGATATTGTTATCAACGACGCCGAGATAACGATAAAATCTCCGATAGAAACTAAATAATATTTAGGAGCTATTTTATACACTCTAGATTTCCCGCTATGTTCGATAACTATCGAAACTGAGGATGTAAACAATTACTTACGACACAATTTGCTTTCAGATTTATTGCCGAGGCCGCACAAACTATCTTAACTAAATTGAAATATACGATGATAATTGTAAAATATTTTCAATCAAAAACGTCCTCCAAGCCTTATTAGCACTTCAATTCGGAGGTTATTTGAAAACCTTTCATGACCACTGTTAGTTATTTCCGTGCCACACATGGCTGCTTTCGATTGCGATAAAAAAAGAAATAAGTATGAAATATTTTTAAATCCAAACATGGGCGGTGTCTGTAGGATATGTGCGCCATAATCAGTATTCTTATAAACAAGAAAAAACGATATTCGAATATTAAATTTGAATTGGACATTCCTGCATTAAATTAACCTAAAATAAGCCAATATCATCAGACACGTTTTTTGAGTTTGTAGTTTTGAGTTTTGCCTTTCATATGTAGAAAATCTTACGTTAGTCAAAGCTATATTTTTCCGAAAAGAAATTTCGTACTGCATTATTATAACATACTGCAATATTCTAACATGAAGACGGGCGGCGTTAAATTGGGTCCAGATGATGAAGCACGAGGGTATTCGTCACAAGAGAGAGAGAGAGGTAGCGTGATACTATTGTCGCTTTCAATTCGCATCGACAGCGCGCGATTTCCACTTTTTGAGGTAACATATATCATTTTCGAATACAAACATATGCGCGGGGATAGCGTCAATATTAGATAACTAACAGAATAAGGTGTGATTGAAGTCGGGCGGTATTAAATTACGTTGGGGTGATAAAGCACTGGGAAAAAGTAGTTTTCACTGAAGTGTTATCACCGTAGAACGACGTTGTTTGAACGTAGAACAATATCTAAAAAAAAAAGAATTTCAAACGGGGGACACGACCGTAACCTCTTGAAATTTTTGGACTAGAGTCTGTTCATGCTTGTCATTGCACTCCAGATTCTCCTGAGCTAGAATTTTTGGTTTAATTAAATCTAGAGTAAGATGTCAAGTGTTAATATACTACTTGGATACATTTTGTTTGTTTTACACAAAACTTCATAGTAGCATCTGAACTCTATGGACAAGAATTACAGTATTTATGCATAATTTTTTTAAGCAATGCTTATTCATGACTTTATTCATAGTACAAGCATCCACTTAATATCTAATGATATGTATCAAGTAGCTGCTTTTGGAAGAACCGGAATCCGTCTGGATCAAATTTATCACACATTTAAGAAGAAACAGATATGAAATTTTAACCCGAGATGTATAGCCTATGATGCCAAAGGAGTTGGTTGAGACTAATGCTTCAACCGCTAGGTCATCACATTGACTAATTAACTAATAATGCAAACAAGCAAATTCCTAAACCTGAAAATAACAAAAAACTGCCTCTATCAATTTCAAGCAACATGGTGAGCAATAAGTTAAGGCTTAGTTTAAAAAATATCAAATTTATAAGTCATATAAGTGTATATCCAATACGGAAAAATATCTAATGTTTTCCAGATTTGAGTCTAGAAAAAAAAACGCCTCCAATCCTGGAATTGTAACTATGTTAAACACTTAAATTCAACACACTATGTTCAACATCAACATACCTCCAAGTAAATTTCTGGCTTCTTCATAAACTGTGGGATTTAATAAAAGTCCACACATCATTTTTCTGATGAAAACAAAGTGACCGGTATGAAGATGCTTATCAATGAACTGCTCGAAAGATTTTAAATCCAGACCAAGAACATACAAAGATGTGAGCATTTCTTGAAAACTTTGATGTTGAAAGTATAGAAGGTGGATTCCTCGAAGAAGTTTACGAAAAATTCCTCCAGAAGCTAGGATGGCTGAATCGGTTGCTTCTTCTGGCTTTAGATTAACTTGACGAAAATCATTTTCTGTAAATAGAACTCGACGTTCTACTGTCCCAATGTATAATAGTTCTTTTAATTTGTTCAAAACTTCCAAAATATTCTCTTGATGACTGTGTGGTGATCGTAAAAGGCTTTTCATGACCACAGTCATAATACCAGTCATAGTGTTTGGCTTGAAGTTAGATTCGAGTTTCAAAGCTATCAATGTGTAAACCAGCGTCACAGGTGTGGTGCACAGTAACAAGAGTAATGGAGCTTTGATTTTGAGGAATTCCATTATTTTCTCGGCTTCTTCATTTCCTTCATATCCAGAAATAATTTCTGTGATCGACTCGATTGATAATCCAGCAAGTGCAATGACCTTGTTGGGTCGAACTTCTCCCCAATAATTTCTGATAGAATGTTCACGACTGGACGATAGAATGCGACAGCCAGGAAATACCTTCCCAGTGAGAAAATTCCATAATATTACTTCAGGATATGCAGGCTCATCTAGGCTGATGATTTCATAAACTCCATCAACTGTATATTGAAGAGTGTCCAAGGAGTCGAGCATAAACAAAACTTCTTCTGGGTGGGTTTTTGCATAGTCAATTGCTTGACCTCTTTCTTCTTTCGGGAGATTGTTGAAAATTAGTTCACCTGCTGTTACTTTACTGTTGCTCATATATTGTTTACATTGTATATATTGAACCATCTTGATGGTTCCTTGGAAATATTTTCCATGCATGGAATTTCTCGATGTTGCTTTCATGATTGTCGTTTTCCCTGATCCCGCGGGACCCACGAAGCATACATGACCTTGTTTGAAGTTCTTAAACAATTTATCAAGATGAGTCTCTTTTCTGATCCCTCTTCTTCTCTCTTCTTCCAAATTTTTTTGGAACACATATGACTCTGGTACGTAATCGTGTTTAGATGTTCTTTCTTTCTCTTCTTCCAAATATTTTTGGAACTCAAAGTACCCTGGTACGTAATTGTATTCAATTATTCTTCCACTTTTATAGAAATCGAATTCTTCCAATATAGGAGTGACGTCCACATTTAGTTTTTTCTTAAAAACTTCGAAAGGTTCAGCAAAGTCATAGAAGTCAGTGCACTTTAAAGTGTTCTCATTGATTTTTGCTATTACTTTCTGATAAGACATCATGTTTGCTTTACAATGTCATTGAGTTTTAACATCCAGTGTACGGACAATGTGGCAAAGCTTTATAAAAATATGTCCATCTGATGTGATAACTGATATTCACTAGTATATTTTTTCGACAATATCTTCAAAGTTCTGGGATACAAACTTTAACTAAAGCTGCTACAAATCTGAACAGAAAATATTTGTTAACCAGGTGCGATGAAACCTAACATAGATGCCAACAAATCCGTTATGGTTGATATAAAATATACACTTTTGGAAACAGTCACAATTGCAAATATCAGTGTAAAATAGTCTTAAAATTAAGATTAATGTGTTTTACTTGACCTCAAGTAAATTAAGTACTTTTTTATGATGTTTTTATGCGACACCCATTCCACGCTTTCTGTTTTGAACAAAGCCATCTATATAAGCGGCCACTGAACAATATGCAAGGGACTGCTATTTTTAGCAAGAATATTTCCAGACCTCAAAAAATCACCTTATATTACCGGTAAGAGTTTTAAAAACAGGAAGGCAGAAAGGAGTATCCCGTCATAAACATTGTGGGCTAATGAATAATCATAAAATGTTTGTCCACATATTTTTATATTTTTCTTGAGGATAAGCAAACGCATTGAAAAGTGAAAAATGACTATTCTGAGGTAAGGACCCAATGGTATCTACCAGGGAGTCTGCATACTGCGGCCCGCAAAAAATTGTGGGGCCCGCAGCGAAGTGCCAATTATGAATAGTGCGCCCGCGAAACAAGTTTTTAGTTTAGGTAATCTGGTGCGTGTGAGCAATTCCAATCTATTTGCGTCGCAAAACTTATACCAATATCTGAGTGCACTGTCATATTAGCTAAACTAGCGAGCAAAATCCTGTTGCAAAAAACACCATGTTATAAGAGCGTGTTTCTTACTGAATTCGTTTAATGTCGGTGTGACAATGAATGTGAATAGCTGTTTCCTTTAGAAATCTATGCGTTTTAAATCAACATTTCTGAAAGAACTCCTAACAATGCCGTACAATCAATACCAAAAAGAAACAAATTTTTGTGCTTGCAACTACAGTAGAAATTCTACCTACAAAATTAATTCGTTCAGGAAGCCCCTTCGTAGATAGAAAGCAGGGACACATTTTATCTGTAAATGCCCTAATCCATTCTAAGCTCTCACAAAACTAGGGCGCAATATTTGTATGAATTATAATAATTGTTAAAACCCGTAACAAATACATGTATGAATTAAATTGAAACTCCGAAGAATGATAAATAGAAAAGATACACATAAAAAGGAGAAGGACAGAGAAATACCCAATAAAAACTACGAACGGTATGTTTGTTTATCTTTGGCATTGATGACTAGACTAGGCTAAATGAAAACAACAACAGTGGGAAAACGGCAGTGGGCGGAAGCAGCAAAAGTTGCCTACTGAGAGAGAACGTAAAGTATGAAAAATAGCACACACACATAAAATTAAAAATTTTCTATTTATTTTTTTCATCGTATCATTGTCTTTTCATTGTATTTCCCTGGCAACACATTGTACGCACCTCGGGTAACGGATGGGTCGATGGGATGGCGGATACTTTATTGCCACACTGCACATGGCTGCCATCGATTACAATAAAAAATGAAGTTTTGTAAAATAGTTTTAATCAAAATGTTGAATCCTATAAACACGAAAAAGGATATTTGAAGGTCGCAATATTCGAATATTAAATTCAAGTTGAACATCCCAAGCACTTCATTAAATTAATCTAAAATAAACAAATATCACTACACTCATTTTTCAAGCTTTCGGCCTTTTGTATTTGGAAAATCATACATTAGTCGAAACAATATTTTTACGATACGAATTTTTGTAGTTCGGATTTTTGGTAAGTAGAGTTTTTAAGTGCGGCCTCCGGGTTCACCCTGTTATTTGTATCTGGCATCCCGTAAAAAAGGGTGCACACCCCTGGTGAGCTATATGAGACAACAAAGCGTTCAAAATAAAATTCGAATTTTAATGGTATTGTACGGTATTGATAAAATTCCATATGTTATTGAACGTCTCTACAATGAGAGTTTTAATTTATGTAAGACCAGTTATGCAGAGTCTCCGTATAATCCTCCCTATTTATTATTTCTTTGCAATCCGCTAAATGCAATGTATTTGAGCCTGTTACTTGCCCAATGAATATTTAATTATAGAATTTATTATAAATAATTGCAAAAACAAATCCAAGCTCTTGATATTTGCCCCGATTCTCTAGACCTGCCCAGCGTCGAAAACTTCGCTTGACCTATGAACATCACAAATAGCAATATTAACTTATATTAAATTGCTGACTCATTTACATGCATTTTATTTCCATTTATTTTTATCCATTTTCATCCCTAACGCACTATCCGAATGATTACTTATATACAGCATGGGGCCAGGATCCTCGGTGACCCAACCAGTCTTCCATACTGACCCTTTTCACAGGTGTCAGTCTTGTCAACTGGTAGTAATAGACAAAACCTCTAACTAACAAAAGACTAATATTATGCTTAATTAGGATATAAATTGAGCTAGTTATACTTTTTTGATCTTCTCGAATTTTGAAAGGCGGCGCAGTTCTCAACGCCGAATACCCTTGGCTATGTCACCTGGCACTGAACAAAAAATGGCAACTCAAAAATGTGAGAGGAAGAGTAATATTTTTTTTAACACGATACATACTCCATACCAGCTACAAGCGGGCACTATTTTGAGTGTAGAGCTATGGATTGATAGTAAGCCAAAAAAACGTTGAGTTATTAGTATTTTAAAACATGGCTATCCACAAATTTTATGCCAATTCGTAAAATGCCCAAATATTTAACGCAATTATAAATATCAATCATTAAAAATGCGCTTTGATAATCATAATACAATTATTTTGCGTTGCCAATGGAAAATTACTTGAAACCGCTTTCACTTGTTAGAAATTATTTTATGCAAAACAAGATTCGATCTTCAATCTATAATAACGCGCTACATCGGCGTGTCCACTACACGGCAAATTTTAATTATTACCATGAGCACAAAATGTCAATGTAGCGCAAAAGAATGGTCGGTTGTGAACATCCAATAAAACATTGTAAATATGCGGCCGGGCATGATCCGATAAAGGATTGGCTATCTTGTAAACCAAGTAATGCGATATATATATATCTTGTAATCAAAGGAAAACAGATTACAAAAGCTTGTTTGGTTTATCGCGCACAACGGTTTATTTTTGAACTCACTTGCCCTAATTAAACCAATCCGTCATTAATGTCACTAAACATACTTATTTCGATTAAATTTTGAGTAGGCCAATGGCCTTGCTTGTGGATAATTTGGTTGTTATAAATCCGCTGACTTCAAAAATACCTAATAATAGTTAACAGTCCAATAACATTTTACACGTTTCATAACATTTAATTAGTTTTACAGCTACACTCTGAACAAGACTTTTGCAAAGCAATCACTGATAAGTGGAAATGAATAAAGATTCACACATAAATATCACCACTCAAACAGATTATCCCATATGTTAAAAATATGAGTTCTGAGCTCTCAGATGAGTTGAATTCCGATTAGGTGTTTGTTTGGCTAATTACAGTATATGGTCTATTTCCTCAGATTGCGATAAATTGATAAGATAAACTAAGAAGGTGGGGTAATACCTGAACTCAAATTAAGTGCATAACTACTAAGGATATGAGTATCGATATTAAACATAGCAGTATTTGACATGTGATGAGCTATCATACCCATGATCCACCGCCATCAAAAGTGCAAAGAAAGAAACAAATTTTTTTTTGATCTTCTGCATATATGCATTTTCACACTTTCAATCCCATTGTGTGGACACGTGAGAGTAAATAACAGTTTAAACGTGTGTAACCTTTTCTATTATATGAGAACAGTACGACTATGGTTGCAAGATAATTGTCAACCGCTTTGGTTGCCCTTAATGATACAAGCAACCAAGCCCGGGATTAACCGTTCCTCTGTTTGAATGCCAACGGTTGAAATTGTGTGTCAATGTTAATATACATAATCAATGTATGGTGTGAATTGCACAATAAATTATTACCGTTCTTCTTCGCAGTCAATGTTAGAATACATTTCTTTCTAAAGCATTTTGTAGCTGGAGCATTTTATTTCCTAAAATAAACGAGGTTCAAGTAATAAACGTCGTTCAACAACCGGCAACCTTAACAAAGTTGGACAGATTGATAAATTACAATATTCATACTTGGGATTGTGCAGGACAAGTTTGCGCACAAACTGATTACGACATTTTCAAAAATTATGTCAGTTGTTACATGTGCTGGAATAAGTCTACTCTCAAAAGTAAACAATAATATTCCAGCCCGACCTCGTGTTATTCTCAAATTGTACATTTAACGCGCTACATCGGCGTCCATTACAAGCTAAATGTTAATTATTACGATGAGCACTAAAAGGCACAAAAAGTTAATGTAGCGCAAAAGAATGGCCGGCTGTAAACATTCTTCTATAAAACATTGTAAATATGCGGCCGGGCATGATCCGATAACGGATTGGCTATCTTTTGAACCAAGTTATGCGATAGGTTTTCGGGGGTTATATTATCTTCTGTCTTTGTCGTGAATCAAAGGAAAACAGGTCACAAAAGCTTGTTTGGATTATCGCGCACAACGGTTTATTTTCGAACTCCCTTGCCCTAATTAAACCAATCCGTGACCAATGTCACAAAATATTTTCCCCTTCCAGATTAAAATTTTGTGTAGGCCAATGGCCTTACTTGAAGATAATTCGGTTGTTTTAAATCCGCTGACTTTAAAAAGGCTATCTGTAACCATAGAGTATATATGCTCGATGAAAAATTAGGACAAATGGATATGCCATATTTTCCGACAGCAAACATGAGAAAAGCATAATACATGCATGAACATCTAATTCTTCAATTTTGAACAAACTATAATATAGTTGTAATATCGGACAATAATTGGTCGCATTGCATTTCTTGGACAACCTCAGGTTAAGCAAAGTTTTGCGATTTTTCAATGGTTTTGCATCAGGATTCATCAGGCTACTTATTCTACTTCAACTAATCAAATTATAAACAAAGTCCGACATTGTAGCATTGTCGGTATTCACAGAATTATACGGAACTTAGCTAGGAT